TATATACATATATATATATATATATGTATATATATATATATATATATATACATATATATATATATACTTGAACCAAACCTAAGGTCAGTAGTGGTGTAAGGTAGGCTTATCAGAATAAATGGGATTTGAGTTGGGAAAGTGTTGTGGAGTGTGCAAGATGGTGTGTAAATTTGAAAGAAGTCAAAGATAAATATGGAGGATTGGAACGTAAGTAGGTTTTCTGATTCAGATCGGGGCCAGTGAAGCTTGAAGATGACATGGGCGGCTGCATTCTCAACAAGGTGAAATTTACTGTATACGTTGATGGGAAGGTGAAGCCAGTTAATCCACAATTATTGGATCAATCAATTACTGCTGTAATGACAGGCTTTAACTACTAAATTAGTAAAACATTAGTAATGTGTTGAGGTCGGGAAACCATTCCCTTTGATCCAACTGTCGAGATGTTACTACCATAATCTCTCACTCTCTGTATTCATTTTACAGAGCTCTGTGCCAGTAGCACATGTACTGTCTGGTACAGTCATACATAACATGCATGGTAACACGAGACTTCCAACAGTGCACCTCCATTATTGTCACAGTAACACAGCACTGTATTAAAGATGTCCTGCAGACCTGCGAGCGGCAGTGTAAAACGGATCACTGACAGCGTCGTAAAACCAATAGTTTGCATAGGTCACGAGCTGAAGGTCCTGAAAATATCCGCAGAGTTTCTGCAGTGGCTGCAGTCCATTAATGATTTACCAGGATTAACGTTGACAGCAGACAGAGTTGAGTCGGGGGCATCACGGTGCAGGTACATTTTCATCATTTAAAAGCCCACATACAGTTTTACCATGCATGTTTATATTAATCTCAAACTCCTAGCAGGACGTTGTTATTTTACAATGGGTGTTAAAAATGGCGGCTGGTGCTAAACGGTGGCAGGTGCTAAATCCTCCTCTTGGAACTGAGAGGCGTATGGAGGTATATGTGGATGGAACAAATGGCACGCCTCCAAGCTCCCGTGGCTGCATGATCCTCCATTATTATTTGTATTTGCACACACAGAGCTCGTATTCACAGGCAGCAGCCCAGAGAAGACCTTCTCTCTGTAGGGGTTTAAAAAACCCGCACAACAAAGCAGAAATGCACTGCTATAATTGCCATGGCCTGTACTTGCAAACACGCTGACCCACATTTAGCTACACTTGCTTCACCACATCAACACGACCAATCAATGGCTGCAGCTAAGAAGCTTCTTCCACTGTGTTTGGGCCATGGCTGTAATTAACATCAGCATTAGAGATGTGGCAGACTATTTGCATGACCAAAAAAAAGAGAAGAAAACAACACTTTCCATCTTGCTTTACTACAGTGAAACAAACTGTAAAATATAATGTTTTATGATTTATTATTTTCTATTCCAGACTGCAGACTGGTATTAAAATGAGTTTACAGTGCAATAAGCTTTGTAATATTTTATATGGTATTCTGTTCAGCAGTGCTTTTGTCTCTGTGTAGATCTGTGCCTTAGAAAACCAAAAAATCAAAAAATCAAAAACTACCGCAGTCACTTTGTGATCCAGAGCTGTAACGAATAAAATGTTGAAAACTCTCAAAAAAAGAGATGGAGACATTAAACATATTACACCGAAGAACTCTGATGTAAATACGCAGAGAAAAAACAGGGCTTTTTAAGAAGGTATTAACACCATTAATTACATGGCCTGTAATTAGCAGATCCAGGTTAATCAAGGACGAGGTTACGGTTTGGTTAAAACTGTGAGCACTGTGAACACATGGAAGTGATGAGAATGAGATTAGACACAATGACAAAAAAAAAACAACCCTGCAGCAGAATCAAAGACATCCATCTACCCTTCCATAAAAATATATCCTGTCAAGGAGGAAAAAAAATAGCTTTGATTCCATAAATTCGTTATCTTTAGAAAAAAATCCAGGTAAAAGCATTTAGTACAACT